TGGGCAGACCTGCCTATTATATTTATATTGTGAGCATATTTTACATAGGGGATTTATATGACAGTTGTGTGAATCATCATCTGAAGATTGTCTGTCTATTGTTTTACCAAAGATGTTCATCAAAAATACAAACTATTTATTTTAGATACAGATTACTTTTAAGATGGTTGTGTTATTATGATATTTATTATTATGTTTTAATTAGAGAAAATTTATTTTTCTCTTGAAAACAGATTATATGAAAGACAAATTTGTTAAGTTTTAAATGATGAACGATATTAGTGAAGGTTATCTGTTAAAATTTTATCTGCTTCACGACCTTTTTAACTTAGTGAAACATTTTTGAAATTGTTTCAAAGAGAAAGTGATAATGGACTTGATTCTTATTTACTAAATTTGACTTAACTTAGAGTTTGCATATAGACATATTTATTTATAACTGAATTCTATATTTTTGTTGTGTTTCAAAAGTTTATTGTGCACTATACATTATATATTTATATACATAAAATGACTGTGACTAGATTTTTTCCCAGTGGCGGCATTTACCTCTCTGGGATATCTTTGATAATTTTTGACAAGGGTGCTCTTAAGGAAATGCCCACCTAGAAAAAAAGAAGCAGGGATGGGAATATTTATCATTTACTCTTTTTCTCTCTCTCAGAAAAAAGGGAACAACGCTTAAAATGTACATACCAGTGGACATATGTATGAAACTTTTTTTCTTGCCAGTTGTCTTTATGCTCTTGGTTAATATCAATTCATGACAAATCAGTAATTCAGTGATAGGCTCTCAAAATATATACTGTTTGTTAATATCAAAGTGTGAAATCTATTTGAAGATTTATTTGAAGAAGGAAAAGAAAACTTTCAAATATCATTCCTTTTAGACAGTATTTAAAAGAGACTGCTACATAAATATGTGCGGCTATTGCCTAATCTTGACTGACAAATTGTGGAAAGTATTTGTAGATCTATATAAGTATTTATGCATATCAAAAGGTGCAGATTCCATTATATACTTATTATATATATTAAAAGCAGAGGGTTTTCTCTACTTTGTGTTTAGTTATATTTCTTAACTTTATTTACAGTTGTTGTTATGTCACAATGTAAACAATTATATCGTATGTATTAGGGGGAGGTAGCACAACTGTTTAGAAAACAGTGAAATACAAAATATATTGCATTTTGTTGATACATTCAAGTGAATTTTTAAATCTTGCAAACGTTGTAAATAGATTTAAGTAGAAGAGTAAGAGTCAAGAGACCATAATAAGGAAAGTTAAACTATGTATAATTAACGAAGAAAACTACTGTACTCCAGCAAACGCGTTCTTGGCAATTATCTACCTTCACCATTCTCTCAAGGGTTTACACACTGGTTTGATATTTAAAGCAGCAAAAGGAAATAAAATTGCTTTCACCGAGTTTGAATATTTTGTTGAGTTAAACTTTTTTAAAATTTACATTAAATGGTAAACCGTGATACCTTCCTTTATCAGTTGATTTCTTGTAGTATAATAATTTGATATAATTTGAAGAGTTCTTAACGCACACGCACGTATGTGTGTGTGTGTGTGGGGGGGGGGGGGCGGGGGCAAAACAATTAAAGCTTATGGGATTTTGGTCCCCAGTGCATTTGTTCCCGTTTAAGCTGAATCATTTTAAAGCTAGCTCACTGTCAGCAAGCAAAGCAGTGGAGAGAACCCGTATGAATAAAGATTGATCAATGCACATTCATTGTCGTTAAATGTGGCGCAGAGAAAAATGACATAATGAAATTAAGGGTGACATTTTTAGCATATGGATATGCCAAATGATATGATTTACAATAGCGCAGGTGCTGAGGTATTGCATTTGCTTGTGAAAAAAAAAGACAATTTAGAGCGTTTCTTAATGACAGCGTAGCAGACAAGCCCTTTTCTTGCCCCTGTTCACTTATTTGTGTCACCCCACCTCTCTATTATGAGACGCCAGAGGTCCAGAAAATCCATTTGGTTTCATCCTTTTGGCAATTAAGATAAATACCGCGGGCACAATTACAACACTGCGTTCATTTAATACAAAACTGAAACGTGTGGAATGAAAAGAAGAAAAAAATTACTGTAGCATTATACTTACGCTATTTGTTACTAATAAACATCAGTCTGCTCACATCACAACTGCTCCTTATAACATTTATTATGACGATATCTCAAAAGAAATTGAGGTGTCATTTTCATCCACAATACCCCGTCTGTCAACGAGGGTAATACAAGCTTATAAATATCACTGTTATATTTCACCTCACTTTATATTAATCAAGGAGTTATTTGAACGTATTTCAGGACATAAAACCAAGTTTTTTTGTCTAGATGATTGTTTAAATTATCCATTTTAACAACAATATAATGTACATACTCTACCTGTACATATCAGTTGCCTGTGTTAATTGCCTGTGTGGGCCTAAGGCCTAGAATTCCTAAATGAATATAAATACTATAAGAAAAACTATTCAGCACCAAGGAAGCGTTTAGATAAACCCGTCGTACTAGCTGGTTCGATCCAAATCTACGGGGGCTTCTCGCTTTTAAATATGTAATCAATGTAATTTGTTCAATTGTTTGACATGCCTCCTAGACCAGCAATTAATAGGTAATTAATAGTAATTAATACAAAGTTAATAGTTAACCAAATGCAAATTTGCAGTCACCCTGCTTAGTATAGACTGTTCTCCCGCATCGCATGATATGATATGATATACATTCTCTAATCTTTTTAGATATCGTAACACAGGTAAAAGTGAGCTCTTTATATACCGACATATGCAGACAAGAACATTTCCAAGTTGCGAAAAATAAGCACCCGTCATTTTAAAATTTAGGATAACAATAATGACAAATACACAATTGTAATTAAAATACTGCTGTAATCTTGCACTGAACAGGCTCATATTAAAAGCTGTTATGCGGGCTTTCATAATGAATACACTGTACCGTTAAAGGGTTTGCGACAGACCGTGTGAAAGGCTTGAACGGGGCATATTCTTTAGAAAGCATACCCACCTAATGATAAATGTATCCAAATGCTCAAATTAGAATCTCATTTAGTAAATTTCGAGCCTAAGAAACGCCTCTTTAAAAGTGTATTCGCTGGGTCTAGGAGTTAACGAGCTAAAAGGTCACGTGGTCCGTTGAC